ATATACAATCATGTATTAAACAACCTGTGAATTAAAGTAAAACAAATGTTTATAAAATAAATATCTATATTTATAAAAAGAAATCTCTTCACATAAATAAATATAAAAAATAGATTGATTTAAGTGTCAAATTTGTAGATCAAAAAAACCTCCCATTTCTTTAAGAACAATTCTTTATCCCCTTCTTGCTTTAATGTAGGCACTGAATTTATCAAAGTATATTTAAGCTGAAATACTGGATGCCCCTTCAATAAAATGTTTTACTAGGTTGTTCTAAATGATTCATTTTAGTCACAAATTGGTGTTGAGCAATTCTACACACACACTAAATCATGTACTGTATATTACAAAAGAGCTAAGGCTAGTATAAAAATTACTTATTTTCAATGAATAACCCTGATTCTAATGAGTAAATGTTCCACCTTTTTTCATATTTGAACAGTGAATGCATGAAAAGCATGAAAAACTGACATTCCATTCTCAAAAATGTAGCTACCAGTGCCAGTATATTTCAGAAATTTTCGAATTTAAGCAGTTTATCCGGCAAAACTCCTTCATTTGGCATTAAATCCCACATAGAACACACAAGACAATGACTACCAAAATATAGATAATAAATGGTTGATTTACTAAAACTGGAGAGTGCAAAATCTGGTGCAGCTCTGCATAGAAACCAATCCGCTTCCAGTTTTTTGTCAAAGCTTAATTGAAGTTACAAGCTGATTGGCTACCATGCACACCTGCACTAGATTTTGTACTTGCCAGTTATGGTAAATTAACCCCGTATGACTAGTATACATGATGGAAGAATTGGATGAAAAATACCACTTTCAGAGCGATCGTCGATAATCTGATCATTAGTATACAGCTTTTGAGAGCCGATCACGCCAGTTCATGCAAAATTATCCAAAGGGACAAGCACAAAAATATTTCTTGCGTGATGCCAGAATGAATTTCGCTTAATCAGTACAGTATTTGTTCGTAAAAAAATCAAGTGACCAAGACCCGCGCATGCTTGGAAACAAAAACATTACAAATACAATAAAAATACATTACATCATTTTTGAAGTTGAAGAGAATTTTCGTAACTTTAGTAACCTATTCATTTTCGATGTCAGACAATCATTCATCCAATATTCTCATCCTGTGTGTGATGAGGAGCTCGAGAGGGCTCACTGTGCTAACTATATGATGTTAGTACAGTGATCTCCCCACTGAGCTATTGTGTTCTAACAAGGGGACTGCCCCCCCCCCCCCCACCAGAACACACCTATCGAATGCCGATCAGCAGATTATTTTCTGGCATGCCCGTTCTACAGAAGTCGGATGTTCAGTTGGCTTCTGTCATACAGGCTGCTGTACACACATGCCGAATGTTGGCTGGTTTCTTTTGAACCAGCCAATACTGATGTTCAGTTTTTCAGAGATCATTCAAAAATAATCCATAAACCAAAGCCATATTTTTTACTGATGCAAATTACAATGTGGGGGCCACAACAGAACCTCCACTTAGGAAAAAATGTAAATGCCAAATGCTGGCAAATTGGTTCCAAGTGTGGTCTCCTGATAAACTGTCAAACATGCAATATCAATATTCAACAAGTGATGTGTTGTTCCATAGACAACAATGCACTGGTGTTCAGATCAGGAAAAAATTTGTTTTTTTTTTTACTCCCATGTGCAAGAAGCCTAGTTGCACACAGATTTAAGAATTTATTGATGTTTATACATAGTTACATAGTTAGTTTGGCTGAAAAAAGACAAATCCATCCAGTTCAACCATAAAAGAAAAAAAAAAGTTATAATCCTATACCCACAGTTGATCCAGAGGAAGGCAAAAAAAAAACCAGCAAAAGCATGATCCAATTTGCTCCTGCAGGGGAAAAAAAATAATCTCCTGAATCCCCCGAGAGGCAATTGGATATTCCCTGGATCAACTTTACCTATAAATGTTAGTATCCAGTTATATTCTGTGTATCCAAGAAAGAATCCAGGACTTTTTTAAAGCAATCCACTGAGCTGCCCAGAACCAACTCTTGAGGGAGTATATTCCACATTTTCACAGCTCTTACTGTGAAGAAACCTTTCCATATTTGGAGATTACATTTAATTTCCTCCAGACGTAACGTGTGCCCCCTTGTCCTCTGTGATGACCTCAAGGTGAATAACTCTACATCAGGTTCACTATATGAACCACTGATGCATTTATACATGTTATTCATATCTCCCCTTAATCTCCTCTTCTTAAGAGAGAATAAATTCAGTTCCTCTAATCTTTCCTCTTAGCTGAGCTCCTCCATGTCTCATCAGTTTGGTTGCCCTTCTCTGTACTTTCTCCAGCTCTTCAATGTTCTTTTTGTGAATTGGTGCCCAAAATTGAACTGTATATTCTAGATGAGGTTTTAATAATGATTTGTACAGGAGTAAAATTATATCTCTCTCTCTGGAGTCTATACTTCTTTTAATACAAGAGAGGATTTTGCTCGCTTTAGAAACCGCAGCTTGGCATTGCATGCCATTATTAAGTTTGTGATCTACCAGAACTCCCAGATCCTTCTCCGCTATTGATTCCCCTAGTTGTACTCCCCCTAGTATGTGTGATGAATGCATATTCTTAGCCCCCAAGTGCACAACCTTACATTTATAAACATTAAACTTCATTTGCCACATAGTTACCCAATTAAACAGTGCATTGAGGTCAGCTTGCAAGTTGGAGACATCCTGTACACCACTAACAACCCTAGACCGATCAGAGTATGAATCATTAACCACTACTCTCTCTGAATATGATTTTTTAGCCAGTTTTCTATACATTTACATACAGATTTTTCCACGCCTGTAGACATTACCTTACACATTAGCCATGTGTGGGTAACTGTGTCAAATGCTTTTGTAAAATCCAAGTATACCATGCCCACCAGCACCCCTCTGTCCAAGGTTTTGCTCACCTCCTCATAAAAAGAATCAGATTTGTCTGACAACTTCTGTCTTTCATGAATTCATGCTGTCTGTTGCTTTTTTTTTCCAGCAAGGATTCATCTATGTGGTCTTTTTTTAAACTCTCCAGTATCTTCCAAACTATAGATGTTAAACTAACACGTCTATAATTACTTGGTAAAGATTTTGACCCCTTTTTAAATATTGGCACCATAATGGCCTTACACCAATCCAGTGGTACTATGCCAGTCATTAAAGAGCCCCTAAAAATTAGAAACAATGGCTTTGAAATGACAAAGCTCAACTCTTTAAGGACCCGTGGGTGTATGCCATCTTTTCCAGGTGCTTTATTCACCTTTATTCTGTCTAAATATTTCTGGATCATATAAATTGTGAGCCAATGTGGATCATCTGGAGCTGTGTTAATACTATGCCCATTATGGACAAGAGCTCCCCCATGCTCCTTTGTATACACAGAGCTGAAGAAGGTATTTAATAAATTTGCCTTCTCTTTGTTCCCAGTCACCCACTCTAGATTATTTTGTAAAGGGCCTACATGCTTAGACCTGTTAATGTAGTTGAAGAATGTTTGGGGGTTTGTGCTGCTATCTTTTGCAATCTGTTGTTTGTTTTAAATTTTTTCAGCCTTTATTTTTTTTTGCATATTTTGTTATATTCTTTGTAATGTTGTAAGGATGATAGCGTTCCTTCATTTGTATATTTAATATATTTTAATATTTTCTTATTATGTATAGCTTTTTTAACTTTGGCCATAAGCCACATAGGTTTGATAACAAACTTTTAAGCCTTTTAAACTTGTTGTCCATGGGAATATATTTTTTGCAGTGTGTTCACATACAGCTGCATAAAGATCAGTAATATAGTGATGAGTACAGAACCATAAAATAAAAATAGAACATTTTACATGAATGCAGTAATTTACATGCATACGCATGTATATGTACGTTTACATTCAATTTTGCAACACTGGCAACTACAGGTGAAACTCTAAAAATTAGAATATCGTGCAAAAGTTTATTCACCCATAGTTTATTCACAATCGTAAATAGAAAACACTATGAAATGCTGAAACTGAGAACATTTATCATTTTCAGAAACAAATAAGGTAATCTTGAAATTGATGGCAACAACATGTCTCAAAAAAGTTGGGATAGAACAACAAAGAGTTGGCAAATTAAAACTTTAGTTCCCAAAAATTTGGGACAGGGACATGTTTCTCATGATGTAGCATCCCCTCTTCTTTTAACAACACTCTGTAAATATCTGGGAAATGAGACCAGTTGCTGGAGTTTTGGGAGAGGAATGTTGTCCTATTCTAAACTCTATAGAGGTCACTTCTATGACTAAGCCCTGAGGGTGGGCTGAAATGTGTCAGGCGTGACCGGCGAGGAGCCTAGGCTGAGGCTGCTTTCTATCCTTACTCTGTACATGGCCTGTTAGGAGTGCCATGTCTTTGCATCTTATTAGGAATGATCCTAACAGAAAATTCATGTGATGCATATGCAGCGGGGCAAGAGAGCAAAACTAGATTTTGTAGAAAGTACTGTTACTAGCTTATAAATAACGTCAAACCTACCTAACTTCTACAATAACACTAATGAGTTGGTGCGCCACCAAAGCTCCAGAGAACATTCTGTTAACCTTAATAAGTGGTTTAAATTTCCCAAAAATAGCCACATTAAGGGTACCCACTAAATATCATTCCTTTTCTTCTGTGATAAAGTGCTAGGTTGAAGTTGTTTTTTATATCCAGTACAAATGTTGAATGTCAATGAGTACATTGTGCTGTAATATGTGTATTCGCTATACCTCAATACATGCATGCTATATCGCCAAGTACACATGAGCATTTCCCTTGGAACTAAGCAACAGGCAATTTTGCTTTTTAGTTCAAAAGCAATAAGAAAAACTAGGAACTACTCATTGTTATAATATACTAACAGATTAAATATAAATAATATGCTAGAGGATAGTACTTTGTTCTTCTGTATTTTAATGACCATTATAATTTTCTTTATCACCTTTGTTCATTAAACCTTTAGAGACCTGCTCGGTGAATAATGGTGGTTGTGACAGCCGATGCCATGATGCAGTAACAGGAGTACACTGCAGCTGTCCTATGGGTTTCATGCTACAAGCAGACAGGAAGACTTGCAAAGGTTAGTAGACCTGGAAGATTTCTGTTAAATTGTTCATTTAATAAAGTGTAACACCACTTTTGCCGGGAAAAAAAAATGCTGTAATTTTCTGTACATTTCTATGCAATATGGCAACCTATAGACCTTTGGTACATAGCTTGGTGTACAGAACACCCCCCAGAAATGAAATTTCCTGCTTGTGTGATTGGCTCACTGATTTTCCCAGAAGTCTGCATTAAGATACAAGTCAGATTTTAGGTGAAACTCGGAAAATTAGAATATCGTGCAAAAGTTCATTTATTTCAGTAATGCAACTTAAAAGGTGAAACTAAAATACTGTATGAGATAGTCTCATTACATACAAAGCAAGATAGTTCAAGCCATGATTTGTCATAATTGTGATGATTATGGCTTACAGCTCATGAAAGCCCCAAATCCACAATCTCAGAAAATTAGAATATTACATGCAATCAGAAAAACAAGGATTGTACATAGAACAATATCAGACCTCTAAAAAGCATAAACATGCATATGTACTCAGTACTTGGTTTGGCCCCTTTTGCAGCAATTACTGCCTCAATGTGGGCGTGGCATGGAACCTATCAGCTTGTGGCACTGCTGAGGTGTTATGGAAGACCAGGATGCTTCAATAGCGGCCTTCAGCTCTTCTGGATTGTTCGGTCTCATGTCTCTCATCTTTCTCTTGGCAATGCCCCATAGATTCTCTATGGGGTTCAGGTCAGGCGAGTTTCCTTGCCAATCAAGCACAGTAATCCCACGGTCATTGAACCACGTTTTGGTGCTTTTGGCAGTGTGGGCAGGTGCCAAGTCCTGCTGGAAAATGAAGTCAGCATCCCCATAAAGCTCGTCTGCGGAAGGAAGCATGAAGTGCTCCAAAATCTCCTGGTAGATGGCTGCGTTGACCTTGGACTTAATGAAGCACAGTGGACCAACACCAGCAGATGACATGGCTCCCCAAATCAACACAGACTGTGGAAACTTCACACTGGACTTCAAGCATCTTACAGTGTGTGCCTCTCCATTGTTCCTCCATACTCTGGGTCCTTGGTTTCCAAATGAGATGCAAAAGTTGCTCTCATCAGAAAAGAGGACTTTGGACCATTGAGCAACATACCACGTCTGTTTTCTTTAGCCCAGGTAAGACGCTTCTGACGTTGTTTGTTGTTCAGGAGCGGCTTGACAACATTTGAAGCCCATGTCCAGGATCCGTCTGTTTGTGGTGGCTCTTGATGCACTGACTCCAGCCTCAGCCCACTCCTTGTCAAAGTCCCCAACACTTTTGAATGACCTTTTCCTGACAATCCTCTCCAGGCTGCGGTCATCCCTGCTGCTTGTGCACCTTTTTCTTCCACACTTTTCCCTTCCACACTTTTCCCTTCCACATAACTTTCTATTAATGTGCTTTGATACAGCACTTTGGGAACATCCAACTTCTTTTGCAATTACCTTTTGAGGCCAATGATGTCAATGATGGTTTTCTGCACAACTGTCAGGTCAGCAGTCTTTCCCATGATTGTGATTCCTACTGAACCAGACTTAGAGACCATTTAAAGGCTCAGGAACTCTTTGCAGGTGTTATGGCTTAATTAGCTGATTACAGTGGGACACTTTGAGCCTAGAATATTGCACCTTTTCACAATATTCTAATTTTATGAGATTGTGGATTTGGGGTTTTCATGAGCTGTAAGCCATATTCATCACAATTATGACAAATCACGGCTTGAAATATCTTGTTTTGCATGTAATGAGTCTATCTCATATATTAATTTAACCTTTTAAGTTGCATTACTGAAATAAATGAACTTTTGCACGATATCCTAATTTTTCGAGTTTCACCTGTATATATGTGAAATAAACTATAATCCATGTTTTATAAATCCCTCTGCAGTCACAGTTTAGGTGGTTTGTCAAAGAATTTCTGAGTGGGGCTGAACCTTTTTGCACAGCCCCAAACTGTTTCTCTGTTGGAACCAATTCCCTCTATAACTCTTTCCCACTCACTTGGTGTGCTTTTTGCTTTTTGGTCTGATGTATATACAGTACCTCTAAAGAATTAAGCTATTAAAGGGAAGGCATTGTTAGAAAGAAATGTTTGTGGCTTTGACCACAAAAGTGATCAAAAGTGTCACTCATCCCAGCAAATTAGGAGGTATGTTTTCAGCACATGATTCTGTACTGCAGGACCTCTTTTTCATTGTATTGTGTTAGGGCCGCCATTAGGCTAGAGTTAGGGTCCCTTGACCTGCATTTGTCAGGCTAGCAGGACATGCAGCTGCACAGAATATCCGATAATATGAAAATTAAAACCACCAGGTCTTTATTTAATCGTTTCAGTGCAGAGTTTTTTAATGTTTGAGGGTCCATTCACCCAACTCAGTCTCATTGAAGTGCACTAAACACCCATGGGTTGTATTAAGGGAGTTCAGTACAGTACAATGAACCAAAAGAAATGCTATTTTCTCTAGTGCACTGCAACATAATGTAAGGTAGTGCATAACCTTGCTTGGTTGGTGTTTGGGGTAACATTCAGAATGAATATTTTTATATTTCTCAGGAACTCAAGTTGTAAGGTCTCTTTGAGTTCCTGGGTCTGCATACATTGCAATGGCAAAAACAAAGGGGACCCTCTCTTTCCCACCTGGATTTTTAATAAAATGTAAATGATTGAGAGAACAGGAGGAGTAGAAGTACTCACCCCAAAGCTGGTGACAACATGCATGGTGGGCAGTAATAAAGTTAAGAACTTTAGCAGAGGGATCTTGTTCCTGCAGTCTAGAAGAGATAGATAGAGGGAGAATCAGCCCTCCAGAATGCATCTATAGGTAAAAGTTTAAATTTAGGTACCCTGACTCATGAATTAAATTAGTTTTCATATTTGGAAATTTGGAAACATAGTTCAAATCGCTTAGCAAAAAAAAAAAAAAAAAAAAACAGACCTTGACCAGATAAGCTCTCTATAGTTTTTCTGCAATGCTTCAACTCCCAGATATACAAACATGGGATATTTTCAGGACATCTGGGATTGTTGCCAAGTATGCTTTTTTTAAATATTTTCCCCTGAAACATGTTTGCTGCTCATGCTGAAATTCTCTTTTAGGCCTCATTCACATGGACATTTTAAAGTGCATGCCCATGCAGGGCTGTATTTGCCTACGTGGGGATGCACAGATGTTCCATTTATCCATGTGCAGGCAGTCCTATTCATGTCATTTACGACACAGCGGCTGCAAGGACACAGCAGCTACTCCCAATTTGACATTCGCTTGGGTGCGGGTTCCTGAACTCACACTGTCTGTATTCAGAGACATGTACCTGCCCCCTCGCAGATGTAAGTTGGGAGCAGGGGCAGTGTCTGTGCAGCCGCTACATCCCAGTTGACATGAATGGGACTAACTGCATGCAAATCCACAGAAAAACTGTGCATCTAATGGTGGCAAAAATGGCCCTTTTCACTGGTGTACACTTAAGTACGCCCTTGTGATCAAGACTTAACAGAAATGTATTAAGACAACTGAAATACATATGTGAAGATGATATACAGTATGTGTGCTTCCAGTTATATTCCATTTTATTTCCATTCATAGATATTGATGAATGTCGTGTCAATAATGGCGGTTGTGATCATTACTGTCGCAATTCAGTTGGTAGCTTTGAGTGTGGCTGCAAAAAAGGTTACAAACTGCTAATTAATGAAAGAGGCTGCCAAGGTGAGTGGTTTTTATGTACATCAAAATAAGAGACCAGGTGGTTGACTCTCAACAGTTTATCAGTACTGCTAACAGTCTAAGGACATGTTCAAACCATGTTGCAATGTGCATGAAAAATGATAGAAACTGACACATAGAATTCTGACATCAGTTTACATGTGCGTTTCAGTGAGATTTATACACTTTACAGATTCCTGTACAGAAAAAATCTGTACAAGATACTAGTGTTGTGGTGTGAACAGGACACATAGAGAACACTTTTTGCTTCTTGCAAAATTTTGCTCTTTGTAGAACGCTTGCAGAAAAACTGATGTCTCTGCACACTGGTGTGAACAAGGCCTTACACTTTCAATTCAAACTTATTAGTATATGCATAGCCATAAGCGACTAAGTTATTTGCGAATAATGACTTATTTCAAATGTATCTCTTTTTCATATTATGTTAAAAAGCCAAGACAATATACTGTAATGGGATATTAACAAATTACACCAAAATTAGTTTTCGTTTTAAGGCTGATTTCCCAACCAGAGACATTTTGAAGTAGGAAATGTTTTCAGTACCAGCCCCTATAGCCACCACCACCTGGAATTTAGGGATAGTTGCCAGCTAAACACTGTATCTACCATCTCCCAGCTTTTAGGTAATGAAGGATTGCAATCTACTTCATGTAGCCTTCTAACATTGCTTTGATTCTATCTGATTTGGCAGCATTGATAGCATTGTGGGTACTAATGTGGTGCCTGCCACTCATCTTTGAGTGACGGAAGCATATAGAGAGCCCTTTTCCTGCAAATGATGCTGTTAATTTATTGACAATATTTTCGGCAGTCTAAACAGTTGGTCAGTACTATAAAGTACATGGATTTATCATATTTATTCTATTACTCCTTTAACAGTTTGTTTTGAGGTTGATTCTAGATTAAAATGTCTGATGGCTTGTTCCTACAGCAAGTGCAGTAAACCTAGAAATTAGTAGTAGAAGCAAAAAAGAAATGCAGAGAAAAATCTGTATTAAAAAAATAGATTTTTTTTTTCTGACCTCTTGACTGTTCACCCACTACTCCATCATCAATTAACAATTTAGGTATTTATATCTTTTGGTTCCCCAGCCATTTCTACTCATATTGTACAGCTGCAGTTACTTAGTTCAACCAGTAGAAAAATGTAATAAATAAATATAAATCCTCCATATACAGAACCCTATACCCACAGTTGATTCAGATAAAGAAAATAAATCTATGAAGCACGGTCCAATTTACTCCATCAGGAGAGAAAAAAAGCCTTCCTGATCCCCAGAAGGCAACTGGATTTTCCCTGAATAAACAGTCTCTTGTGTTAAAACCTATAAATGATAATATACAGTTATATTCCGTGCATTTAGGAATGCATTCAGTTCTTGAAAAAGAAAAATCAACTTAGCTGCATTAACAATAAAAAAAACATTGGCTGTGACAAAACTCTCATAGACATGTCTTCACCCTCAGATATTGACGAGTGCTCCTTTGACAGAACATGCGATCACATCTGTGTCAACACTCCTGGGAGCTTTCAGTGTTTGTGTCACAAGGGCTATGCACTATATGGGCTCACTCATTGTGGAGGTAATGTTTTCATGTTGCCTTAAATTTTAGCTCCTTGATCATCAGACATCCTCGTTGGTATCATCCAGAAAATAATCTTATTTGTAATGTATACTTGATAGTAAGCCATGAATAATGAACTTTCTGCTTCTGAGTATATAACCCTGCCCTTACCCCTATTCAGAATTACTAAGAAGTATGTACTGCATTACTGTAAAACAGTAGTAGTATTACCTAAGGACCGCTAATCAGCAAATTTAAATAAATTAGCTACTTGATTTTCCAAAGACATTGCTTACAATTGTAATATTGCTTATTTTAATTTTGCTGACCTACAAGTCTAATACTCAACATAGATAAAAGGTTTTGCAGTGTTTGGGAAGTTAAAACAACCATTTATAGTTCAATGGTTTTTATTGTTTAGTTTCACATTTTAACAGGTACAGTCAACATTTTCATAGTGTTAATAGTATAGAAATACATACAGTATATCTTGTTGTATAGAAAATGGAAACACAAATTGACCCGAGACCTAATTTATAATAATAACAATATAGGTAGAAGGAACATCATATATTTAACATCGCTATATTTGTCTCTGATAAGGTAAATGAAAAAAAGATTGTATGGGGAGAAATGAGGAGGGTAGGAGGAAAGAAAGGTGGTATATAGGAAAGTAAATGATATATTATGTTATAGAAACCAGGAGGGCAGGGCATGAGTGGAGGGGGTCATGCCCTGATTTAAAGGCCTAGTAGACAAGCATCTCTTCCACTAGAAAGGCAATGAGTAAATCAAGGGTACCAGGTAATCAGGTACTTTTCCATTGTATTATATTTCCTTGCCTCTCTTGAACTCTTGAGCTAACTTAGACTATGGAGAGGATAGGGGATTTCCAAGACTTTGCAGTTGTTTGTGTTGCTGTGGTGAGGACATGTCACAAAAGTTGAAATTGGGCTTTAAAAGAGGTCTTGTAGTTTGACACAAAGTAGGGCAACTTTTGATGTCTGAGGAATTGTTTGCCCTAATAGCCTAGTGAGAAGTGAAAAATGTCAGTCAAGAATAGTTGGAACACCAGGCAGGACCACCAAGTATAATAAAATGTTCCCAATTTCCCACATTTTTTAAAACATAAAAGTAAATAGCTAAGTACATACAAATAGCTAATGCAACTCGAACTAAGACCTTATGCCATTTCATCATTACCTCGTAGTTGATTTCAAAGGCTCGTACTTTTCGAGAACTAGATTTCACTGTTTTCCAAATTTGATACCATTCCGCTACCTCGATAGTTGACCCTAGATCAGTATTCAATTGTCGGGTGTACATCAGGCATTCAGGTGTACATCAAGCATTGGGATCAAGCGGGAGATGTTAGAAGAGTATATGTGTGTGTGTGTGTGTGTTCTAAGAAGTGTTTAATCTGGAGATACATGAAGAGTCCCACAGATGTAACTGATAGGCCTATTGTAACATAGAGAAACTTCTTAACACCTTTGCCCATGATCAACTTGTAGGGGTGATAAAGAACAAATTAAATGTATGCAAATGTATGTATGTTATTCAATTTTGTCAAATCCTAGATATAGATGAATGCAGCATTAACAAAGGAGGCTGCAAATATGGTTGCATCAATATACCAGGAGGCTTTGAGTGTACCTGTCCAGCTGGTTTTAAACTTCATTGGAATCAGAAAGACTGTGTAGGTAAGTGTTTTGAAATTTTTGATGGTGTTTAGAGCATTGAAAATGTATTTATTTATTTTACTATATACACATTAAGAGGTCATTTTTACAACCAAAACAAAAACATACAAAAAACAGAAATGTAATACAGTATTTCTATCTGTGTACATACATCCATTTTTGATGCCCATAAGTGTCTGTGAGATTTTCCTTTAGATAGAGTAAGTTGTTAAAGGTATATTATAATCAGTATAGGGTCGACATAAGCAGATCTTTTTGTCTATGGAGGGAAAAAATTATGGAAATGACTACCAAGGGTTTAAATAGAATCAGTTGCAGTTATTGTTTTAGCCCTTCTTATGGTTGTTTTTAAAGATACCTGTATTGGTAAAACCACTGATTTCAGACACAAATATTTATAATATTGTTATAATATTGTTATTTATTGGTTATTTAACTAGAAAGACTGTGTCTTTTTTCAACCAGACTAAGTATTATGTAATATATAAATATCTACAGGTCTAATAACAGACATATAACTCTAAGTGAAAGGTGTACTTTTTTTAGTTATATTACTGCACAATTTCATCTACACATCTATAAAGGTAAAATGATACATGTATCATACTTTTATGTATTGAAAATAACTCTTGTTAACCTATAGCAGATCTTATAGGTCTGATTTAGGAAATACTTATTAAACAGTTCCTTTGCTCTCTAGAGCTGGTAAAATGTATGATGACTGGTATGTCCTCCCGAGCGGCTTTGATTTGTTCTCGAAATGGGAAGAAAGACACCTGCTCTCTCACCTGTAGCTCGAAGACTTTGCTGCAGCCAGGTAATTTCCAAAGCTTCAAGATGGGGGGAGGGGTGCGGTCTGTGAGCTGTAGGGTACAAGAATATAATTTGTTGCATGAGGCTTGTCTTGTGAACTATATCTTTTAAAAAAATTACAAACAAACACAAAAAGAAGATATCCCTTCTACTATGTATACTCAAATGAAGTGTGTTGTGCTAAACCTATACAAAATATTGCATGTGTTCGAAATATATAAAAAAAAACATAAACATGTAATCATACATAAAAAATAATATAGAATGAGTGAAATAGAAAAGATTCATATAAAAAGTTCCATCCAAAAAGTGCTGACAACTTTCAACTTAATGTAGGCTCTGTAGCGTCTACCTTAGCCGTATGGAAAGCCCATAAGGCGTGGCCTTTGTATCTCCATGGGCTCTCGCCTGAAGAAATCCTCGGAGTGTGCCAGGATTGCCCTAGTCCGCCAGTTAACCCTGGCTGAACGTAAACTCCTTTCAAAACCGTCTATTCCTGGGCTGTATAGAGTGACTCCTCTACGCGACCAAATCAAGGCTCTTGATGCCTGTAAGTCCACAAAATCTCTCCTCTGGGTCAGGCAGAAATTTTATGAATTTTCTAACAAACCTCATCGAATGCTCGTTAACAGACTTAAAGCTCTATCCCCCTCTATGGTGCCACACCATCTTATCCAGCTGAATGGGAGCCCTACTTATGATCCTCATGTAATGGTCTCCCTTTTTGGCTCATATTATGAATCCCTTTACAACTGTTTGACCCCAAACCTCCATCCCCCCCTCACGGAGACCTTTTTTGATAGGTTTTTTGACCCTTTATTGTTGCCTAAGCTTTCGTCTTCTGATATTGCGGCCCTCAACGCTGACATCTCGTCCGAAGAATTATTTAATACAGTCACACATCTCCCCTCCCGCAAAACACCAGGCCCAGATGGTCTTCCCTATTCTTGCTATAAGACTTTCATTGGTACCCTGGATCCCCATCTTCTTTCTTTCTATCATGACCTTTTTTAGAGGTATTACTCCACAAGTGGACTTCTCCCGTGCATACAACTCTGTTTTCCCAAACCTGACAAGGATCATTCTATCTTGGATAATTACCGTCCTATTGCTCTACTGAACTCTGATTACAAGATTTTTACTAAGATCCTAGCCAACCGGCTGTCCAGACTCATCTCCAAACTCATACACAGAGACCAAGTAGGCTTTGTCCCTGCTAGACATGCAGCAGACAACACCAGGAGATCTATTGATCTGGTTAACCGGTCTTCCATTCCCACCATTTTATTGAGCTTGGATGCCCAAAAAGCATTTGATCGTCTCAGTTGGCCTTATATGTTTATGGTTTTGGAGAAGTTTGGCTTCCGTGGCCCTTTTGTGGCAGCTTTGAAAGCTCTCTATTCTCATCCTTCCTAGCAGGTCAGACTGTCCTCCTTTCTTTCACCCCCTTTTCAGATGTCGAATGGTACTCAACAGGGATGCCCTCTCTCCCCTCTATTGTTTATTCTTTGTTTGGAACCACTGGCTATTGCAATCCGGTCCCATCCTGACATACAAGGTATAATGTCTCGCGAATATAAATTGTCCCTTTTTGCGGATGATATCCTCCTTACACTCTCGAACCCCCAAATTTCCCTCCCAGCACTGCATAAACTTTTATGACATTTCGGGACTCTCTCTGATTACAAGGTTAACACCTCCAAGACCGAAGATCTCCCACTTCATATCCCTCCAGCTGTACTCTCATCCCTTCCGGAATCATTCCTGTATCAATGGTGCGCCCGCTCTCTAAAATATCTCGGCACTAACCTTACTTACTCCTATAGTTCAATACATGACGCCAACTTCCCTCCCCTATTTGTAGCTATTTCCCGCTCCCTGAAATCTTGGGATACTCTACCCTTGTCATTCTTGGGACGTATCAGCGTCATAAAGATGACTGTATTACCCAAACTTTTGTACTTATTTGCGACCCCCCTTGTCCCTGTCCCTCTGTCCAAGCTACACTCCCTGCAGAAATCCCTACTACACTTCATTTGGCATAATAAGCAACACAGAATTGCACATAGTGTACTACTTTCCCTGCGTTCTAGAGGAGGCCTGGGTGCACCGGATATCGTGACCTATTATTACGCCACTCACCTTCGCTTCCTTACTTCGTGGTCCACTCTATTCCCTCCCAATCTATAGACTGAGATAGAGTCCTTACAATTGACCCCGATTCATCCCTGCTCTCTCCTCTGGTCGTCTTCGGAGGTGGACCTTACCCCTCTTCATCGTTTGTTCCTTGGCCCCATGCAATTCTTCATGAGTATATGGTGGAAATGTAAAACCAGGTTTGCATTGGCCTCCGATTGCTCCCCACTGATTGATATCCTTTTTAACCCCAATCTTCCAGACAGTCTGGTGGTACCCCGATTGTCCCCTTGGGTCACGGCCAGGCTCTTCCAACTACGTCACCTAAGACATCCTGTTACCCAGAAGCTGCAGCCATTCTCGTATCTCCAGAAAAAAGATCTGCCTTCTCACCATTTTTATATTTATCTCCAGATACGTCACTTTTTCTCGACTATATCTCCCACGTTGACTCATGGGAAACCTACCCCCTTTGAGCGTCTCTGTATACAAGGTCCACATCAAAAGGGTATAGTTTCTAATATATATAAACTTCTTATGGATGCTGCTCCCCTCGCTAACGACACTCATCATTACATGCGCAAGTGGTCCCAGTTTCTGCAGTGTGACATTGACCTTACACAATGAAAGAAAATTTGGGACAACACATCTAAATCTTCTGTCTGTGTGGTTTATAAAGAAAACACATATAAAATTTTAATGTTATGGTATAAAACTCCCGAGGTTGTCCATGCCTTTAATCCGAATGTTTCTTCCGCTTGCTCGCGTTGTGGGAAAGATATTGGCTCCTTCTTCCATAATTTTTGGACTTGTGGATCCGTTGTCCCTTTTTGGGAAGAGGTTTTGTCTTTTTTTACAATTGATATTGCAGACCTCTCTCCCATTTGAGCCTCTGTATTTTTTACTGAGCGTGCCATTCCCAGGTCTTCCCAGAATGGCCAGGAAACTCTCCACACATATTCTGACTGCGGCCAGAAGAAGCATTCCGATGTGTTGGCTATCTTCTCTACCTCCTTCGATGTCAACGCTGTTTAAAATTATTGCTGATGTACGACAGATGGAGTACCTGACGGCTGTGCAAGCCTGTTCGCTTGCTTTGTTTGAGGCAGTTTGGCACCCATGGGACAATTTTTCTTCCTTCCGCCTTTCTGCAGATGTATAGTTCTGACGGCCACCCCATTGTAACTATATGACATTCTTATGTTAGTAACCATGCAGATCTCACCATTGATGTGCTCCTTTATTCTCCTGTGATGTTTTTGTATACATATATATATGTGAAAAGTGCTGACAAGTGAGAAATTTGTTCCTTCCTGGTATCGTAAAGTGCCACCACTCGACACAATCACCCAAAGTGCTGATGAAATACATGCTTTCCAGCTTACCATGACTCCCTTGCGATAAGAGTGGTCATGAAGCGCTTGTGCAATTTCCTTAAGGTCACAAGGTGACACTTGAAGCAGCCTCGGTAGTACACAGGAATGCTGCCAATAGAATATGCATAACTCTCACAAAGTAATGGTCCATGCAAGGCAAAAAAAAAAAAAAAGGAAAAGAGCCTCTCCATAGTGTAAAAACTTACTTAAAATTATTTTATTGTGTAAAAATATACTCACGCAGAGTTAAGAAACATGTGCATGTAATACAAACGATCAAGCCGGCAAAGACAACAACTTCCTAGAGAGCGATGATGGCAGTACAAGGCTCCATTCAACTCATTTCATCATCAAAATACGTGTTTCAGGGCTTTTTATATATGGGTCTTTTTATATGAACTTTTTGTATTTTATTCATTCTATATTTTTTTATGTATGTTTACATGTTTATGTTTTATTTATATATTTTTAACACGTGCAATATTTATATAGGTTTAACACAGTTTATTTGAGTAAACAGATGTAAACTGGGCATATTTCAGGTCAGCATTCTCGGATACTTCAGGAAAAAAAGGAATCGTTGGTTTTCTTCCAGGATCGAGTTGTACTTGTAGAGGAAATATAACAAAAAACTTTCGATTGCATATTTAACAAAACTAAATTAAACAAATAAAAGTTTGGATATGATTTACATACATTTTAAATTAGAAATATATTAATTTCTGTATCAGAGACGTAGATTTTGTTTTTTTTAAATTACATGTGAAATAAAGGAAGATATCTGGTTCATTGGTTCACATGCACTGAAAGGGAAATTTAAATGAATATATACAGCAACTAGTTCCTGAAGGAACTGTAAGTAAATTAAGGAAATGTATTCACATTTTCAGATATTGTATTTACATATTCCTGTTTTTGTAAAATTAGTCTACTATGTAAATCATGTATAATATTAACAACAATAATAAATAATTTTCTGTTTCTCTATGCAGAGTCAGACAGCAGTTTCATCTTCAGCTGTGGATCTCCTGCACATAAACCTGGACTCAGCTCTAAACAGAATACTAGCCATCACTGCACTGGTAACTTAATGCCTGTCACAGTGGGGAAAACTCTAAATGTATGGAGACTATGACAAAATACATTTGTGGTTTCCTTAGCTCATAATCATTTGCAAAAGCAATAACACTACTAAGCTATAGCTACTTTCCGTCTTACAGCCACTTCTTCTGTACTGTCCCAGGCACCAAGGCCCAGTGTACAGTTTTTCATAAAAGCCCAGTTTCTTACATCTCCTAAAATAGCAGTAAGTGTTATCTCTTTGGGATAAAATCATTGGCCTCAATCAATGGCCAAAATCATTGGCTTCACTAACTCGCCACCCTCCAGTGTGGCTTTTCACAGTTCTTAGACATCCCATGCAATGCTGCTACAAAATTGTTTGCTTAAGCCATAATATAAAACAATCGCTGAGTTAGACAACAAATAATTATATTCTAACAGTTTGTTAACATCTTAATTGCAAGCGTGATAGGCCTGGTGGTGATATTTAAACCTTTGAGTTTGTTATTCTTTGCTCTATTCTAAATTATTTTTCCAGCCTTAAGCTAACTACAAGCATGAAATGTTGGCCAACATGCAGACTCAATCCAACCACCAAAACATTTTCCCATAAACATGCATCATGTACACACAAATTGTATGCTATTGTTTGAGAGTCCTTAAAGTGGTTCTAAAGACTCAAGGTTTTTTCACCTTCATGCATTCTATGCATGAAGGTAAAAAACGTTCTGTTTGCAGCATCCCCCCAGCCCCCCCCCCCCCCCCAATACTCACCTAAGTCCCCTCTCGATCCAGCGATGTGCACTGGAGTCTCGGCTATCCCGGGACTCCCTCTTCTCACTGGCTGAGACAGAAGTAGGAGCCATTGCATTGGCTCCCACTGCTGTCAATCACAGCCAGTGAGCCAATGAGAAGAGAGAGGGGGTGGGGCCGAGCTGCAGCTCCAGGTGTGAGTGGACACACAGAGCAGTGGGTGCTCCCATAGCAAGCTGCTTGTTGTGGGGGCACCCGACAGGAGGGAGGGGCCAGGAGAGCCTGCAGGGGACCCAAGCAGAGGAGGATCGGGGCTGCTCTGTGCAAAACCACTACACACAGCAGGTAAGTATAGGCATGTTTGTTTGTTTTTTTCTTAAAAGAAAAAAAAAGCATTTAGAATCACTTAACAAAACATAACAAACATCCACGGTTCTTTTTTTGTCTCAGTACAAAACAATAGAGGCCAGTCTAGACCACTGATTTTTCCCATGAGCTTGGGATGTTTCTACATATGTACCATGTCCATTCCAGCCCTAACCAGCTGGTTTGGAAAAAGATCACGTGTGAGTAGTACTTATAATTGCTTCTGTGAAACCTTTAACCTCAAGGAAAAAAAACTCATATGTAGTAACTTTCCACAATAAATTCACATTTGACTATGTTTTATTACTGTTAGTATATACAAATTTCTGTTGATTTGCCAGATATTCACCCAGTTCTTATTTTCATATTGCGAGCTGGCAACACACAGCTATTTTTCAGACTGAGCATCGTCAGCCCTACCTGTTGTTTTTTGATAAACCAATCAACCACTCCCACTGTGTTCTTATCCACAGCATAGAGACTAAATGACTAGTCCAAGATAAGAACTGGAAGGGCTAAATAGTCTCTTAAAGATAACACAGATAGAGAGCACAGAACACAGGAAAGCTCTGAATTTTAACTGTTTTTTTTTTGCACTTATAAAACTGATATAACAAAATGCTTTCAAAGGTTTATTTAAAGCAAAACTAAACCCTCCTATACTTTTCAGTCAAGGAAGCTGCCATTTTAGCCTTTGTTTAATCTTCAGCCGTCATGATCCTGCACATGTGATCAATTATGTCACCAGCCATTTGATGGTTTGACAGTTTGGTTGAGAGCACAAGCAAATTGGACAGTTACATTCCTGGCACGTGCAACTGCATTTAAAACTGTTAAATCGATGGGTTTAGTTCTGCTTTAACAGATGAAAAGGTAACAAATAAGAAAAAAAATTATTGTTGGGGTTAATATACTTTTAATAATTTTTCATTTCTTATTTTAGAAACTCTGGTGCCACCAGTAAAACAGAGAGCATCCTTCAAACTTAAAGATTCCAGATGTGGCCTGAGAGTGCGTGCAGCAGATCAGCAAGAGGGGAGGAAAGCGCAAGACATGGAAGTATGAGAAATGGAGAAGGCGAAAAGTGGTAGGAAGAGAGGATGAAAAGGAATTGTGGGAAAGGCATTACAAAGTGGACATTCAGGAGAAAAAAAAAAAGAGAACAGAGATGTACCAGGGAGGGGTAGAGATGCAGATAAGAAAATTCAGTTACGGCCAAGTTGTTTTCTTCTTTACTTGCTATTTCTTATAATCAGTTTGCTTATCTTTTCCTAATCAGGTTCTCATGCACCATGCTCAGACTGCCAGCTAACATATATTCAGTTGAAATGTGACTCTCTGTGGAGGAATAAAGGCCGCAGCACTCGCTCTTCTCCCAGTAAGGAAGTTACCAGGATCTCATTGGAGTTGGAAGCTGAAGTCAAAGTAGAGGAGGCCACATGTAAGACCTGTGATAAGTCTTAGTACTATAAAGAAATAAAAGGTTATTGATCACATCATATGTCACTTGCCAAATTCTCCTTGCACTCAGCCGAATTTATTAGCATCTCCATACGGGTGTATTCTCTTCGTCCTGGTGATAAACTATAATCCTGGACTGATTTGTTATTTAAGAAACCCTGTATTTGTTGTCCTTCTAACTCTGCTTTTAACTATGAGTGTGTTATTGCCCAGGCTTCCATACTTGTTGACTTTGTATAATGTCTGTATAAATAGAAAGTAAAAAAAAAGTGATTGTAAAAAAGGCTTAAATAGAGAGAGATTTTTACCAAGGTTTATTTGAAGTTCAGCTGTGGTTCATTTATTGGACTTGACAAGGGGGTTTCAGTTTAAAAAGAGCTGTACCCTGTCAAATATTTTTTATTTTTATTTTTCTAGCAAGCTGTTCACTGACATGCCTCCGTCAGCGTCTGGAACGCAAGATTAAATCCATACTGAAATCTTTGAGAAAATCTATTAATCAAGAGAGATTTGTGATACGTTTAGCATCTGTAGAATATGAGGTAGCGCAAAAGGGAGGCACAGCAACTGAACGAGGAGAAAACTGCACTCCAGGACATCAACGCATGTGGGGAAAATGTGGTAAGAAAGGAGAATATTTGCCTTGAATCATTACAGGAGAATGAAAAAATGTAATGAAAATCTTGTTTCTTAAGGAATACCTAGAGTAAGTCTTCAAACCCCAAAAGCTTAAGCTGGCCATAGATGGATCATTTTTGTTTGGTCAGAAATCAGACTGAATGAAAAAATGGATTCCTCCACTCACACAAGCGATGTGAATAGAGGAATGCCACTGATTGGCTGCAGCTGCTCACTGAGAAAAGCTTTCCAATAATCCTGTTAGACAGAAGTCAAACTAACAATCGACTTCTGTCGAATGGGGGCAACCAAACATGGATCAACATTCAGCTGGTCCCTACTGAAAAGGCTGAATTTCAGTCCATCTATGGCCAGCTTCAGTTAGCTCTTGCTGAATCCATGAATGACACTATATGGACACTGTCTATGTTACTAATGTCAGCTACTATATGCATGCTGATTTCCTTAAGACAGTTCTTCTGACCAGACTGCAAATGTTTTATTTCACTTTTCTTTTGTTTGCTTGTTTAAAGCATATGTATAGTCATTTTTAAAAAATTCTGTATAGAGTAGTGAGAGATCAGGTTTTTTATTTCTGTCTGTCCTTTCTAGGAAGATTATCAAGTGCTAACTCCAGCTTTAGCAAGAGGTAACATGTTGATAAGCAAGTAGTCCTCTATGAAACACAATTGCAGTGATGATTGCACTCATAGTCCATTGAAACATCCTGGCAGGAGCCTGGCATTGCAAATGTAATCCACTGACCATGGGTGCAAGCTTTGCATGGCTCCTATGAATAAAAATAATAAATGCACATTTTTTTCCTGCAAAGATATTTGTATTTTTTTAAAGTGAACTTAGCCTTTAATGCAAACCTCATTAAAGTCAATGGGAGGAAAATGTCATTATTCCTTCTGTTTGTAAGTAAAGCCATTTTCAAGGCTAATGGTTAAGGGATTATCAAACAAAGGGCATGGGGAGCTGGACACTGCCCTGGGGACCATGTACAAGTGTGTGGGGTTTCCCCTTATATATCTATACCAAACCCTTATTTTGATGATGCTCTTGTGTAGTTTTTAAGGGGACAGAAAAAGTCACCACCAAAATCCTTACCAAACCATTATCTGAGCATCAGATCAGCAGCCTGGCTGGCCGGGAAAGGGGGAGCAGTGGGTGTGAACCCTCTTACTCCTGAACTATACCAGACTATATGCTTTCAACATGAAGAGGGTACCCTGCTAGAGGGTCACCAATTGGCAAAGCACCTTGTCCCTATATTGGGAACAAGGATCTCCCTGACACAGGGGATGTGGGGTTTGCTGGGGGGACATATCTGAATCTGGAAGCCCTCTATAAAACAAGGAGGCTTTTAGATATCTCCCCCCCATGTGAATGAGTAAGGGATACATTTTAGTAAACAGCCACTAAATTAATAACAAGAGGTTTACCCTGGTAAACAGGTCAAATCTGACCATTTAGCTTAAACTATGCTTACACTTTAAGAAAACATTTGATGACTTACAAAACTACACGTTTAGCAAGTGGCACAATAAACAAAAATGTATGTTGGTAGACCTTGACAACACATACAAATAACTGAAATTAAGTGTTGACCCATTTCAACTGAAGATTTGGGCATTTATAGAAGATACAGTACATGGGGTTAGCAGCCACTTTCCTGTTCCAAACCTGGATAGCAATGGCTAATGATGGAGAGTTAAAGTGGTTGTAAACCCCTCCATTTACTCGGTGAAGTGACTGGCCTCAGGTGATACACAGAGATTAAACAAATCCTCTTACATAAGTTGTACCTGTTTATCTCCAGCTGTCTATCCCCATGTATCCATTCAAAGTGCAGCATTTACACAGCATCTCTCAGCTCTGAAAATTAGGGGACGGGGAGCTGATGTTACATCAGTGAGGAGAGCTCTGAGAGCTGATTGGAGGGAAGGGTTTCACCCCCCTCCACACAGCTCACAAGAACAGAGCTGAGGCTGTCGATCGTCTTGAGATCCCTCCCCGTCACAATTTTTCTCTTGGTGTCAGGAAAACTTGTCAGAAGTGTTTCATGCAGATAGCAGAGGAACAAAACAGCAGACAGAAATGACACTTAGTGCTCTGAGACAAGTATACACTTTAGATGGGTTTGATTTTTTCATATTTCATGTCTGAGGTTACAACTATTTTAAAGCAAATTACACATTCTTCTGTCTCTCAAAGTCTCTTGGTGACTGTTAATAAGATTTCTGCTCTTGAGTTTCCAAATCTTTGAACCTTCAGAGTTCATTATGATGGCCATTCCTAAAAGATGTTTTATTTCAGTTATATTATGGAACACACAACAGGAGGTTCTAGAGTACTGTACACTCCTAGATAGACAGGAACTATAAATCATTTTGACAGGGAGATATCTGTTGTATTATTCAAAACATACAAGAAACCAGGGGCTGAAAAAAGCCCATCAGGCTCCAACCACTGCAAAATTATTTTTTGTGGGTGGACTGACCCTTTAGTATTTGTTTCACATATATCAGCGCAGGAAGTTATGAATCAGTTTCTAGTAGCCATATAGAGATTTGCAGTCAGTAAGCTAAATCAGATTAACCTGATTTAAAGAACTTGCTGAAGCACTGACTACACAGTTCATGTTACCAAACTGGTCAAACTGAAAGCTATAAATGGCGGCCATTTTAGAATTCTCCATTTGCCTCCAGTCATTCAACAGAGGCAGACCTGGCTGTATTCAGGGAGAGAGTTAGGGACACAGAAACGTTACTTAGGGACATAGAAACGTTAGTTAGGGACACAGAAACGTTACTTAGGGCCACAGAAACGTTACGTTACTTAGGGACACAGAAACGTTACTTAGGGCCACAGAAACGTTACTTAGGGCCACAGAAACGTTACTTAGGGACACAGAAACGTTACTTAGGGCCACAGAAACGTTACTTAGGGCCACAGAAACGTTACTTAGGGCACAGAAACGTTACTTAGGGCCACAGAATTGTTACTTAGGGCCAGACACACAGAATTGTTACTAGGGCCACAGAAATTGTTACTTAGGGCCACAGAAACGTTACTTAGGGCCACAGAAACGTTACTTAGGGCCACAGAATTGTTACTTAGGGACAGACACAGAATTGTTACTGAGGGACACAGAATTGTTACTGAGGGCCACAGAATTGTTACTTAGGGCCACAGAAACGTTACTTAGGGCCACAGAATTGTTACTTAGGGGCCACAGAATTGTTACTTAGGGACAGACACAGAATTGTTACTGAGGGACACAGAATTGTTACTGAGGGCCACAGAACTGTTACTTAGGGCCACAGAAACGTACTTAGGGACACAGAATTGTTACTCAGGGACAGACACAGAATTGTTACTGAGGGACACAGAATTGTTACTGAGGGCCACAGAACGTTACTTAGGGCCACACAAACGTTACTTAGGGCCACAGAATTGTTACTTAGGGACAGACACAGAATTGTTACTGAGGGACACAGAATTGTTACTGAGGGCCACAGAAAACTGTTACTTAGGGCCACAGAAACGTTACTTAGGGACACAGAATTGTTACTTAGGGACAGACACAGAATTGTTACTGAGGGCCACAGAATTGTTACTTAGGGCCACATTGTTACTTAGGGCCACAGAATTGTTACTTAGGGACAGACACAGAATTGTTACTGAGGGACACAGAATTGTTACTGAGGGCCACAGACACAAATTGTTACTTAGGGCCACAGAACTGTTACTTAGGGCCACAGTTACTACTAGGGACACAGAATTGTTACTCAGGGACAGACACAGAATTGTTACTTAGGGACAGACACAGAATTGTTACTGAGGGACACAGAATTGTTACTTAGGGCCACAAACGTTACTTAGGGCCACAGAATTGTTACTTAGGGACACAGAATTGTTACTTAGGGACAGACACAGAATTGTTACTGAGGGACACAGAATTGTTACTGAGGGCCACAGAATTGTTACTTAGGGCCACAGAAACGTTACTTAGGGCCACAGAACGTTACTTAGGGACACAGAATTGTTACTTAGGGACACAGAAACAGAATTGTTACTGAGGGACACAGAATTGTTACTTAGGGCCACAGAATTGTTACTTAGGGCCACAGAAACGTTACTTAGGGCCACAGAATTGTTACTTAGGGCAGACACAGAATTGTTACTTAGGGACAGACACAGAATTGTTACTGAGGGCCACAGAATTGTTACTGAGGGACACAGAATTGTTACTTAGGGCCACAGAATTGTTACTTAGGGCCACACAGAACGTTACTTAGGGACACAGAATTGTTACTTAGGGACAGACACAGAATTGTTACTGAGGGACACAGAATTGTTACTGAGGGCCACAGAATTGTTACTTAGGGCCACAGAAATTGTTACTTAGGGCCACAGAATTGTTACTTAGGGACACAGAACGTTACTTAGGGACACAGAATTGTTACTTAGGGACACAGAATCGTTACTACGTTACTGAGGGCCACAGAACGTTACTTAGGGCCACAGAATTGTTACTTAGGGCCACAGAAATTGTTACTTAGGGCCACAGAAATTTGTTACTTAGGGACACAGAATTGTTACTGAGGGGGACACAGAATTGTTACTGAGGGACACAGAATTGTTACTTAGGGCCACAGAATTGTTACTTAGGGCCACAGAAACGTTACTTAGGGCCACAGAATTGTTACTTAGGGACAGACACAGAATTGTTACTTAGGGACAGACACAGAATTGTTACTGAGGGACACAGAATTGTTACTGAGGGCCACAGAACTGTTACTTAGGGCCACAGAAACGTTACTTAGGGACACAGAATTGTTACTCAGGGACAGACACAGAATTGTTACTGAGGGACACAGAATTGTTACTGAGGGACACAGAATTGTTACTTAGGGCCACAGAATTGTTACTTAGGGCCACAGAATTGTTACTTAGGGGACACAGAATTGTTACTGAGGGACACAGAATTGTTA